GCCCCCAATTAAATGCTTTTTTCTCCATAAGAGTTGCCTTGGTCATGGTATCTCTTCAAAGCAATAGAACAGTGACTATAGGACAACATGAGAAAAATTTTAAGACATTCTATACCACGAGTGTAGCTGATTTAGAGCTCTGGCTCTAGCAATCTTGGTGGCCTTCTGCATCAACAAGTAGGCATGTCAATGTTATGCAATTGCCACTAACAGTGCTCTGGTTTCATGCTACAGGACTAGAAGTGACCAACTTAAAGTGGCATTTGACATACAGAACATCCCACATGGCCCAGGGGAAATCCAGGCTGTGCATCCTGGACATTAGCAGAGAACTATCAGGAACTTCCTCAAGGAAAGCACAAGTAAGTATATTTTAAATAACTACTTATTTTCTCAACAGGAAGTACTTTGCCATCTGTGGTTACCATAGATAAAGCTGTAGTTGATGCAAAGGAAATGCAACTAAGTATATTTGTTGTTTTTTCAATTAGAATCTACTATTTTTTCAATTCTGAAAAGTGATACAATCTACCCAGAGAAGCCATTTTCTCATTTTTTATTTTTTTAAAATCAGTATCAAAATTGCTTTACACAACATGGAATTTTGTATAAAGGCAAAAAATAAGAAATAAAGTCAATAAAATAGAATGCTAAAAACATACAACTCTAGCTAATGTTCTAGCATGCAAATGTTCACTAGCCTGTTTACTTGGTGTTACTTTTGAACTTTTTAAAATTGGGAGGTTGGTGGGAGGGAAAATGTAGTCCACAGTAAACTTAATCCTGAACAGCCCTTAAGCATGAACTTAGCGGAACTTCTGCATGAACCACATAAAGTCGCAATGACGTCACCCATCAGGGAGAAATGTAAAGCTACGAGGTCACAATGACACGGATGAACACCCAATGTCAGCACTGGCTCCCTTGTTCTTGGGGAAGCCGTGACTGTCAGATACTTGACCTGGGCCCTGTGGGATTCAGCAACATGGCATCCTGTGTGCAAGAGCCTTTGTTCTATTTTTAACAGAATAAATTGGAATGCCCACAGCAATAGATTCTAAGACATACTTATAGAAACTGCAGTGTGCTCTAATTCAGGCTTCCTAAGGATTCTCTCAAGTTCCAGGATGAGGATATGTGAAACTATGAGTCATCATTTCTCTGAGAATTTACTCCTTCATTGTGGTTGCTAAAAGGTAGGTTATTAATTATCATATTTAACCAGTAATTTTGGACTCTTCACCAAGTGTAAGGTTGTTTCAGTAAAGACATGGGCTATTGCTCTATGGTATTATCATTGCCCCAGACAAGCAGGGCAGTCATGAAAATCAGCTGGGAAACTGTGAAAATGTGGATGTCCAGGTCCCTACCCCCACACAAAAATTCTAGGTATGAAGTGGGACTTTCTTAAGGCTTACTGGGTAAATTCAGTGAGTAGCTGGTGAGTCGACCCATTGCAAACACTTGCTAACAGTTTCAAGTTTGACAGCTTATTGACACAGGATCAGTTGAGTTGAATGACACCCTTAATCACCAGAAGTATGGAATTTGCAACCAGTCTCTGAAGATGTAAAAATGCTATTAGGAGTTTTATTTGTCTAACAAAATCTGTACTTCCTATGGATACAAAGACATACACACAAATACTCAAAGTTACATGCCCACAACACTAAATTCTAGATTCTAGACTCCTCAGCATTCCTAACAGCCTGGAGCTTTGTGTTCAGGCTTCCTTAGAGGAATGCCACAGTCACCCTGGCCAAACAGAACTGTATCAGCCCCAAAGAACTGTTTCTCCGGCAATCATCCCAACTTTAGGTAAAAATAAATAAAAATAAAGCACGATGTAATGATTTAAGTCAAAACACTGAAAGTCTTTCTATGTCTTCCTCCAGAGACATCTCAAATGTATCCATGTTTCTCTATAGTCACCACCACCACCACCACCATCATCATTTGACACAACAGCCACCTGGCTCATTGCCTTACTTCTTTGACTCTCTCACATCCATTTTCCTTTCAGAAGTTACCTTTTAAAATACAAATCAGGATATGTCATTCTTTCCCTGAAAAGCCTAAATGGTGTCTCACCATTCACTACATAAAAATCAAATCCATTAACTAGGACTGTGTAATTCATCTCAATCCAATTCCTGATGAAATCAGCCTTGCCTAGCAATGAATACTGTACAGACTGAACTGTTTTTCCATCCCTCAAGTCATAAAGGAATTTCCATTCACCAAGTCTTAGCATGTATTCTCTCTTTATCTAACCATTTCCTTCTTGTCATTTAACCATCAGTCAAAATAACCTTTCCTCAGTGAGGACTTCCCTCAATTCAGATTTCAAAACATGAGCTGTCATGGAATACTATTTTAACTATGTAAAAATGTGCTATGTTTGTTTATATGCTATGGAATATCACTTTAAAAATATAAAGATGTGTTTCACTTGTTTATGAAGCATTTGTTGAATGGTGTAAGGATTTGTTACATTTGTTTGTGCTGTATTTGTTTCACTGTAAAGATGTGTTGAATTTGTTTCACCTTGCCTGCCTAAGGCACCTGAAGTGGTGTAATGAAAAACTGAATGGCCAATAGCTAGACAAGAGAGGGATAGGCAGGGCTGGCAGTCAGAGAAAATAAGGAGAAATCTAGGTTCAAGAGAGAACAGATGGAGAGAATACAGGAGAAAGAAAGTGAGACTCCCAGAGCCAACCAGCCAAGCAGCTGCTGGCCTGCTAGACAGAGTAGGCCATACAAAGGAAAGAAAGATTTAAAAAAGTGTGGATGAAGAGAAACAGATTAAAATAAGGCCGAGCATTCAGAACTAATAATACGTCTCCCTGTCATGGTTGGGAACTAGGTGACAAATTAAAAATAGAAGCCTGGTCCAATGAGCTTTCCTGTTGCTTTCATTTATGGAATTGTGGATTGAACTGCATCTCACTCAAATTTACATGAGTAAGCCTTTAGTGCCTCCAAAAGTGATCTTATTGGGATAAAAGTGTTTTCCAAGGTGATTGATTGAATATGAGGTCATAACTTCAGGTCTCAATCTGATTTGATGGTCATGCTCAAAGGGGAGATTTGATTATAGATCCATGAAAAAGGAAGGCAACACCTAAGGATTCAGGGAGTCAACTGTTGTCTTGGTTATTTTTATTGCTGCTACAATAAAACACCCAACAAAAGCAGCCTAAGGGAGAACAGGTTTACTTTGGATCAAAGGTCAAAAGTATAGTTCATCATGGTGTGGGGGCCACATCACATTGCACTCATTGTCAACCAGCAGAGAAGGGTAAGTGCTTGTCCTCATCTACATTTTGATTTTGTATAGAACATCCCATGACACAAGCCCAGGAAATGATGATGCCCACCTTTCAAGTGTCTTCCAATTCAATTAATCCAGTCAACAAAACCCCCACAGGCATGGCCAGAGGCTAAAAAAATTCCTCGAGGGTGTGTCTGGAAGCTTATCTTCTGGGTAATCCCAGGTCCAAGTCGATAATTAAAACTATAGGCAATAGGAATAGAGTAGAACAGAATATGCCACAACCCACAAAAAAACCTGGTCCTGCCAGTAACTTGACATTGGAGCCCCTAGCTTCCAGAGCCACAAGACAATAAAATTATTTAAATTACTCAGTAGTACTGTCACATAATCCCAATAAACTAAACTAATGTCTTACCCTTTTACATCATAATACAACATGATTTACAGTTACATGTGCGTTCATTTCGTTTGCTTTTTGTTTTACCCCTTTCACCAGATGGTCATCTATAGAAGAGCAGGGACTCCATCTGCCATCTATTGAACATGATCATTAAGTATTAGACTCTGCAGTCCCAGGAATGACCAACTGCTTACTAACACCAGACAAGACATTATGGTGTCAAGAACAAATTCTGGGTGGGCTAGAACAGATGAAGGCAAACTGAGGTTTCCCCAGGCACTGCCTGTTCCACATTCTGTTCTCATGACATATGAACTACAAATGCTTTAATATTTTTAAGTGATTGAAAAAAATACATTTCACAACCTGAGAACATTATGTGAAATTTAAATATTAGGTACTCATTTACATTTTGCCTACAGATGTCTTCCTGCTACAAAAGTTACACAATTATGATACAGAAACACTGCCTAACTCATTTGCCATTTGGTCATCTATAGTGAAAAAATGTCTTCTAAGCCTTGTGTAAAACTTGCTTCATGAGCTATGTGACCTGCCCAGTGACAACTGCCTCAGGTGACATGGTCCAGGAATGGAGTCATTTGAGGGGAATTCTGAGTGCTTACGAGAACATCCAATAAAACAAGAGTCTTGTGACCTCAGTTTCTTCAGAACACAGAATTGTTCTTGGAATGTGTTTTCCTGCTCCTACAAGGTGTAGCAGATATGAGTGAGTTTATTACAGATAATCATTATTGCTTTCTGCTTTTAATCAATTAAATGTTTAAACTATCCTTTATATGTCTGTATGGAAAAACATGTTTTTGCCACAGCCACGTGCAGCTTGTCCTTGTGATTATATAGTGTTTGAACTCATGAGACCTTTACTCATGTGACCTTTCTTAACCCTCAGTATAAACTTGTCTGAGGCTATGAATAAAGTTGGCTATTGCATGAAACTAGTCCATCTTATTTATTGACTTCATTCTCTCAGGTCTCACTGCCTCTAGAGCAGTAATAATTAAGAATGGTAAGATTTCTAAAATTTCCACTGAAACTGAAAGTTGAACTAGTGGATTTTCAGCCTATGCATCCCAGATATGTGAGGCCATGCCCAGTATTTATGGAATTTGGATGGAATGTATGTAATGTGATAAAGACTTTAAATTCAAATGGAATAAGGAATAATAATTATAACACAGTTATCTGAATTTGTTTATCATAAATACTATCAAAGAAGTCTAAATTAGTCCAAATTTCATTAGGAAGGACAAAAATAGGAGCTCTTCTACTCATCATATTTGCACAAAGAGCACTTTTTACCTTTGATGGGGGAACAAACTGGACACATTCCAGCCATTCGGATAAAAAGGGTTTGCTGCACAATGCACATTTTTTTGCCTTGGAGAGTTTGTCTTTGGTCTCTGGATAAGACTCTATTGCATTCACAATCAAATCATTGTTTTCTTCTAACTGACAGAGGACAAATCTTGCTGCTATTTCCTAAATTGAAAAAAAAATAGTTCTTCAAATTAATTCAAAATTCATATATTAATTCCTATTTCATTAGTTCAAAAATCATGTCTAATTATTTATTGTTTATTAATCTAAGATCCTACATCATATATAGTGGCTTACATTGCATGTGGTTGCCACTGTAAAAAAATTTTTGTCTTTCACAAATATAGGAAAAGTGGGTACCTTCTACCATATTTATATCCCTTATATATAGGACTTCAAGTCATAATAAATTTGCATTATCTGTTTAGTAAAATTTGATGTCATTTTACTCAGGTTTTGTACCTTTCATTACAATAAGCAGGAACTACACACGTATGCAAACTGGACTCAGAAAGATTCAGTCATATTCACCAGGATCTTAGTTCTTGGTATCTGAACTACAACTCACAGCTCAGTTTACTCTGCATCCCTTAAGGAGCATTAGCATCCATGAGACAATCCCTACTTTCAATCTGTGTTAAACTTAGCCATGATGAGATACAGAACACTGGCCTTTTTCCAACAAAATAATAAATAATAAAGTAATGAAGAAAAAGAAGTTGCCTTTCACCAGTACCATCAACATCATCACCTTAAAGTAAAACACAGAATATAATTTATACAATTTAATCTTCACTGACCCAGTAAAGGAAACAAGCATTTGCCTAACTCCCCAAAAGCACCCACATCCAGTGTGCCAGCATGGCATAAACAATGCTTGTGTTTATGAAGCAATGTGTGTTTATATAGCATAGAAATCCAGGTTACACAAACACTGCTTGAAATTTAAAGAATGTATGGAGGCAGTTTATTTGGGACATATTTTCCTGCCCCAAATGAAGGATTTCCTAATAGTCCATATCAGGCTCTGTTAGTCATTTATATACATATCAGTATGTATATAAAAATCTTGCCCTAATTCATACTCACTTAAGTCTTTAAAAACTTCAGTAACAAGGAATTCCTGTGAATTGCTATGGCCTGCTCCTTACTATGCCCATGTTTCCCAGTCCACAAGCGTCTTGGAAAACCACCATCACACAGCAAAGCACCTCGGGCATGTGTTCCTTGTGTGACTGATCCTTCACCAGCATGATCTTCTGAGTGGGGAAATGGCCATGGCCAAGAGAGGGGCTAAATCTGATAGCACTAATTCTATCATGACTCCAACCATCAGATGCTTACTGTCACCTCTGTCTGACTGCTTCCCCAGAGCATAGTTTGTGATTCAAAATGAAATGCTCATTTTAAAGGGATGTCATTAGCTAATTAGACAAATCGAGTGGCTAGTTCTAGTATGCAGAAAACACATAGACATGGATTCACTTTCCAAACAGAAACAGGAAAATTTTCTAGAATATACAGACCTATAAGTCATATGGATTACTTTTACCATTTATGATTTCTGGGCCCAAACATGTTTCCTGATTTCAATATATCCTTTGACAACTAATATATGTTATTATTTATATTCTCCTTGAAACCAAAATATAATTTGGAAAAATAATGTACATCATTAAAATGTAAAGTTCTTTTCTTGGAAATGTGAGTATACACAAAACAAGATAGTGTTGACATGACCAATAGTGCAGGGTTTTTTTAGTTGGTTTTTTTTTTTTTGTTTCTTTGTTTTGTTTTGTTTTGTTTTGTTTCTTTTTTCCTGAGACAGGGTTTCTCTGTGTAACCCGATCATCCTGGAACTCACTCTGTAGACCAGGCTGGCCTCAAACTCAAAGATCCACCCGCCTTGGCCTCTCAAGTACTAGGATTAGTGGTATGTACCACCACTGCCTGGCTAATAGTATCTTTTAAGACACATCTTAGAGACATACTTTGTGAATTTTCTGAAATTATACTATTTAATTATGACATCATTATAGTGTTGTTTTAAGTCTAAGAAATGTTTTAAAATAAATACGTTGTTTATTTTGAATCACTCGTATGCTATTTTGTTAGAATATTTTATGTAGGTCATATGGTATTCCTATTTCTAATCCCCTATAAATTGAAAGTAAATTCATGTGCATTCTTAAATTTTCTTACATATGGTCATTTGAATTATAATATTACATATCCACAAAAGTATAAAAATTATAAAATTTAGAAAGAAATACGGATCCTTAGAATGAAGAGTAGACTTGGAAATGACTCTGTAATAAACTGCTACTGTGGATGCAGGAGGCAGAACACTCAGCATCATGAACACACACAACATAAGCAAGGGTTCTGGGTCCATCATGTGCAGAGTTTCACACACTGGTCCAATAAGGTACTGACTGCATGGCCTTATTTGGACAAATTCTTAATTTACATGGTCCCAAATATCTCATATGTAAAATGAGTTTATAGAGCTGAGCTAACAGTAGCAAACCATTTGGCCTGCATCTGCTGATGCACTGAATTACCAGGATCAGATTCTAGTTAATAAATTTCTGAGATGCGGAAGGTTCTTAAACTTTTTGTTGGCACTGCCAGCTGGGCTATATCCCCAACCCTCACTTTACTTTTAATTTTAACATATCAAATTGGCTTAGAAGTCACTCGGTACCTCAGGCCTTGAACTTGTGGTGCTTCTGCCTCAGCCTTCCATGTGGCTAGAATTTCAGGCCTAAACAACCAAGTATATCTTTTAGAAATTCTCTACTAAGGCAGATAAAGCCTCAGAGCCCTATGGACCATTGAAAGCCAAAGGAATTTAATTGCCAATGTTAACCAAATGCCGACTCAAATGACTTTGAGTACAAATACACTGTCAGTTTGAGCCACCATTCTGAGAAAGATTCATAGAAGTACTTTCAAAATGGCCTAAATCATTTATATATTATAAGTAAAACTAATAATTTCTACTACATAATCTATTTTATATATCCACCCATGCATATATTCATTATGAATATATACATAAAATTAACTCTGAGCTCCTGGACCTTACAATTTTAAAAATTAAAAGAAAGAAATGTTCCATTCCTCTTAAGCTACCACATCAGATTAACTATTCATCCAGCCTTCCCTACAATCTAGAATCTCATGTCCTCAATGCCAAAACAATCTGCTTACCTTTCTGCACCCTATCTCTTAACAACATTGCAGTATAGGGTCTTGAAGGCCAACTGTAGAAGATGGTATCAACACCCAAGCCCCAACATGAACGCTGCTATTGTGAACAAGTTAGTTAGCCTCTCTGGTTCTTAGTTTCTCTACCTATAAAAGGGGTATAATAAAGATGCCTACCTCTTGATGGTAATCAAACAACTACTGTGTTTATAAGCATAGTACCTGTCCACAGAAACCTTAAACTAAGTATTTAGGATTATTACTCTGGTATGCTTGATGCAGTAGAAAAAAGAACAAGTTATAGAGGCTTAAATGAAATATGGCAGTTTTAAATGATTAATTTAATAAATTTAAGTTTCAAATAAAATTTTCCCATATAAAAGCAGGAAATAAAGCTGTTTATGAAACAATCTCCAGAAAGGAATTTGAAAAGAGCTGGTCTTCAAAGAAAGCAGTTCTTATCCCCTACAATTTTATTCATTGAGATAATGTGGACATGAGAGAAATTTACTGTGAATATAGTCAGTTCAGCCTCATTTGTAAAAACAAAAATTAGTGAATATTAATGATCTAAACATCTAACAGTAAGAAAATAGTTAAAATATTATGTTGTAATAGAACAGCATATACCTATCTAAAAATAAATCTTAATGTTTTTAATCTGATTTAAAAAGACATTCACAATAATTGGAGTAAAAATCTGAGTCTCTAAGTAGCATATAGAGTCCTAATTCACCTTAAATTTAAAATATATTCTAAATGCACAAGAGTCAGAGAGGAGGGTAGTAATGCTTCGCTAATTAGGTTTCTGAGTTCTTTTCACTAATTCTCATTGGCTCTTTCCTATTCTTATACATGCATCTATATTGCTTTCATGATAAGAAAACAGTTTCAAAAGCATTATAACTAATTTCTATCTGAAGCACTCTTGTATGTTTACCTTTAGATCCAAATGAATCTGGTAAATCAAAATTCATGATTGAGAATCATGCTAACTCTGGGAGGAGCTGTAGTTTTTATCTTTCCTGGTAGTAAAGAGTCCTTCAGTGTGCATCCGTAGTCCTTCTTTTGATATCATTAACTAGTTTCACCAAATTGGACACAATGAGCTCCAGATTATATCCATGCACTCATTTGCAAAGGAGACAAGTGAAAATGGAACAAAAGCAATAAAGAGCCCACTAGCAGCAAAAAGATACTTAAAAGGCTAGCATAAAAATAAATTTCTCTTTTCTATTCATCCAACAAAAAATGTTCACTTCTCTGTGTTGAGTCAGTCTGACAATTAGACAGATTACAATGGGTTCTGTGAGCAAGACAAAAATTACATGAAGCATTCACATTGTTAATGGACCAGTGTTACATATTTGCTGAATTGTCAAGAATGCTTCACATCTTAAACCATGGATTTAATGTGAAGGTCCCTGCTTATGAGCTAAACCTTCACCCGTAGAGTCCAGATGTCTTTAGGTTGTCTAGCAGTAATTGGCCGCATCAGGAAGAGTGGATTTCCCTCACAGTAGAACTCCCTCAGCTTTAGATTCTGAAACTGGTAAAAGAAAAGATCTTTATTGCAAACAAGACAATAGACTTTACTTCTAAAGATTGATCATAAAAATTTAGGATGTACATTCTATACTAGTATTTTTAAGGATAAGAGATATTCTACTTGTTAGGGACATTCAGAGTTTTAACGATGGTATGAACAGCCATGACCTTAGAAGACACTGGTCTTATCTCCCATACTCAATAGCTAAGGAAGCCTGTTTAGAGTCACAGAGTCAGTAGCAGAATAAGGTTAACTAAGTCAAATTTTGGAAATTTGTAAGTATGTGTTAGAAACTAAGCATAATGAAAACAATTCTAAAACATGCTATACTGAAAATATCAGTGATTGCCTGAAAATCAATTCATGTTTAATGAACATGAGAGAAATATTGAAACCTCAAAATCTCTTCATAAACTACTATAAACAATAAAAATAAAAATAGATGACTGTGGCTGTGGCTCAGTAGCACAGGATTGCCTAGTGTGTGCAAAATTCCGAGACTGGATAAAATAAAATAAAACAACATGAAGCAGTGGGAAAATGGACAGTTCACAGGGATATTTAATCTATGATGAAAATCCAAATCCTACTGGGATCTACCACTTAAACAGAAAATAACAAATACCACTGTGTCCATATTCTGCTTAGCATGCCTCTGCTGGAACCTATAAAGCTTCTGAGATAGCTGAAATTACCATGTAAGGAACTACTTCTCTGAGACTAAACTCTTAGGGGAAAAAAAGACAGGAAAATACGAGCATATCTTCAGAGGTATCTAGTAAATGGAAAGGCAGAGGAATGTGGAAGAAGAGAGGAAGGAAGAGGAAGGAGTGCTGAGCCCAGAGAAAAGGAAAGGACATGAGTGGGGGAGGAGAGCCATGATTAACGATGTGTGTGATTCTAAAGCATAAACACTCCTGCCACAGCCGATTCAATTCACTGACTGTAGAGTTGGAAAGACAGGAAAAAATGAAAATCAACTCTTGTGAGCCACAATAAGCTGGCCTAGTCACACCACAGCATTTCACGAAATTTATGGAAGGATGAGAGATTTCTGTCATTTCAGCCAAGGAGTTGAAAGATAGCAATGATTAGCCAAATTAAAAATAATTGATTTAAGACATATTTCTGGGGCATTATGTTACTAGATTTTGAAATTTACAGTAAAGCTTATATAACATGTATGAGATTTTAAATGAAGAACTCAAGGTCACTTTGTATCATACCTAATCCTAGCCACACAACATACATTCCAACCTCTACTCAGTTTCAAAAATTTTCCATTTCAAAGGAGCTACCTTGATAGTTGGAGCCAATGTCAGTCAAAAGTCAGTGCTGAGTGTGAGAAAATGAGAAAGAGAGAATGTATTGGACCTGATTTTCTACACAACCATTGTGTTTTATTTCTTACTGTCCTAATCAATGGCAATCCGTAATTGTACTTAAACTGTAGTCGCTGTTAAAGAGGGGCTCGGAGAAGTCTTCATATGCAAAGTGCTTGCCATATAAGCATGAGGAGCTGCGATTTGATTCTCAGCACTTGCACAGAAAAGCACACATAGAAGTGTACATCTGTAATCTCAGAACAGGGCAAACAGATGAAAAAAGCCTTCAGCTCACAGATCAGTCGGTCTAGACTGAGTTCGGAAACTCCACGTTTGTGAGAGATCCTCTCTCAAAAGATAAGGTAGAGAGCAATGAGAATACCCATTGCTGATCTCTGACTTTCACATGCACGAATACATACACATATAAATACACACATGCATAACATATACACATGTGAAGAAAACCTGATTCAAACACGAATATACATGTAAATATCACTAAAATATGTTAACATTTTACACTTAATTTACACAGTTCAGGGGCTATATACTTGCTTCAATCTTGTCACTGCCAATCAAAAGTGATAATAGGTTCTCCAATTAGTTGTCCTATGACATATAACAGATCGACCACTCACAGAGATCCTCCTGCCTCTGCCTTCTGAATGCTGGGACAAAAGGTATGCACCACTAGGCCTGGCTATAAAGAAGTTATTTTAATACAAAGAAAATTTAATAGCATGTGCCTTATAGGAGGAAAGTTTTATTAACCTAGAGTCATACAATCTCTCAATGTACGTTAAGTATTCTTCAAAATAAATTCCCTTAGAGCCTCTTTATTTATAATTATTAAGTGTCTTCGGCCATGCTTCTTCAGAGAACTAAATCTTAGGCTACCCCAGTTACTCCACTAGGAAAATACGGATTTTTACATTTTAATAAGAAGGTTTGAGGCCTGGGGAGATGGCCCTGTAGATAAGAGCATATATTTTGCAAGAAACCTGAGTTCAGCTCCCAGCATCGATGTCAGGCAGCTCACCACTGCATTAAACTTGAGCCCTGGGATCTGAGAGCCTCTTCTGCACTATGAGGGCACCTGGACTCACATGTACATTTCCACACATATATACACATACTTTAAAAAAAAAAAAAGTAAACAGAAGAAATGTGGCGGCTGCGGGAATGGCTCTATCTGTAAAGTGCCCAGTGTGCAGACATGGGAACCCAACTTTGGATCTGCAACCAGGCTGAAGGTATGCATCTCTAAACCCAGTGCTCAGAAACAGAGATAGGCATCTCAAGCTCACTGGCCAGCCAGCCCAGATTAGTGAGCTCTGGGTTCAGTGAGAGACCCTGTCTCAAAAAAAACAAGGTGAGAGAGATTAAGGAAGACACCCACTCTGCTGGGTACCAGCTCCTTGCTGTCGAAATGGGCAAGTTCATGAAACCCAGGAAAGTGGTGCTGGTCATGGCTAGACACTACTCCAGACACAAAGCTGTCATTGTGAAGAACATTGATGATGGCACCTCAGACCACCCTTATAGCGTCATATTTGGCTCTCTTCAGCCTACTTCTCCAAAGTAACCTGGTGAGCACTCCTAATACTGAAGCTTTTGGAGATTTCACAGCAGCTCTGTCTTATTTGTTATGACTAAAAGTTGTATGTTCTAACTTAAATATGGACCATCTGTCTAAGACTAAAACATCACCTATCTGTGTTCCCCCAGCCTTCACTACATGTCCTTGCCCTATGTATAAATCAGTCCTATAAAGGGCAGGAACAATTACTGTTGAAAACTTTGTCTTTAAGAATTGTGTCTTAAATAACTACCTATTGCAAGCTCTAAAGTCAGTACCAAATACACAGTAATTACTGATTACATGGTAATTTATTACTGATATTCAGTAAACAGACGATAAATAAACAAATATCAGAGAAATACAGCTCTACCCAGGCTTTCAAGATTTGCCAAGTCCTTCCCCAGACTTGGTAAATTAATACCAGGATTCACACACAGCCACATGCCGCAGCAACACTATGGTCACCACGTCCTACTGTCACTTCCGACCAGCCTGAAGTCACTGGGGGCTCAGCAAGGGGAGAGTGCAGAGACAGTCTCAGTGGAAATGGGAGAAAAAAAGCTGAAGTTTTACACACACTCAAAGATAGAAGTGATAAGTAATCTACAGTAAATTAATATGTACTCTTCAGACCATCTCAAAGCTCATGGGGCTATCTTGTAATAAAAATTGGATTTCTAAATAGACCCAGTTTAGAGAAGGATAATATTTTAGTACAGGAACTATGACATCCAAAAATTAGACCCAAAGAACAATTCTTTTTTAAAGAATGAGTAAGATTTAGCAGCTAATGGAAAACAAACACAGAATGATACACCTGATATATATAATCAAAATTGTGGGGTGATTTGGCAGAAGACATCATTTGTACATAAGAATCCCTACAAAAAAAAAATCTATGCTAGAAATTTCTCTCTCACACTCTCCATAACTAGTAGAGGAGAAAATGACTAGCAGAGAGTAATATAAAGTCTTAATTCTTCATATCTGCCAAATACATACTACAAGAGAGAATTCTGAGAAGGAACAAAGGAGGAGGCTAAGAGCCAAGCCTGGCAGAAAGGAGATATCTGGACTTGCAGGCTATAAACACACAGAGAGATCAGGGAGAAGCCTTTTTTGAGACCAGAGAGATGCTGCTCAAAGTGCCTAAGCTCAGTTCCTCCCTGGCCTTCAATATCCTGGGCCTTGAAAAGCTCATAGTAATTTAACGTCGATTGTTTATCAATTCTGTCATTGAGTCCATGTGAAACCTCAGACTCTCCACGGTGTTTTCAGCAATCTCTCTAAACATCACTGTAGCAATAACTGACATTGTTTACATCGCCCCCAGTCCCCATCACATGCCTGCTTTAGACCTCACTTTTGAACTACCTGAGAACTAATAGCTCTTCTCCCTCTCTGTCCTATGCACTCACAAAGACACTCAGATCACCACTCCTTACTCAGAACTATCTAGCAGCCATTCATGTCACCTGAAATCACTCAGTATGGCTTTCTGTCTGTTCCTATGTGGACCCTCAGCCCTCATGTTCTTGCTTTTACTCTTGCCTTAATTCTCTCTCCCTCCACTCAGAAGTATTTCCCTCTTCTTGTGATACTTTGACCCCAACGTTATTCACTCCTTTAAGACAAGAACATATGGAATAAGGTCTTAGTGCTTTGCAAGAAGTCTCTTTTTGTCCTCAAGTGGGAAAACAAAACAAGATCTCACTAATATGGCAAAGAACAAAGGCATCTTCTCCTATGGGTGTTAATCAAGGAAAATTATTCAAGAGATAGAGCAGCTGAAAGAGTAATGCATTGTAAGAACTTAAAGGATTGTCAACATGGAAAGAACAAAACTGAGAGACTCCACTGCCATATTGAAAAAAAAAAAAAAGATTAGGGAATCTCTTTGAAAAAAGTTAAGTATCAGGAAAAAGCCTGAAAGTTCTTACTGCGAAAGAACAGCTCTTCCTGGAGGTCATCCAAAAGAAACACTGGGAATGAGAACAGATGTTTGAGTAAAATGTACATCTCAGATTTCAAAAGCATCTTCTATATTAACATAGTATGGTAGCTTGCATCGTGTATCCAAATCTTCCAGC